CATTAGATAATATATGATACGAAATTCTGGTAATGGTAATTTATATTTTAAATGTCACATATTAATTGTTACTCAGATTATTTGAACTTGTGGGGAATGTGTTTGAAATTATAAAACTGTTTACCGTAATTGAAAAAAAATAATAACTACTACTAATTCGACACTAAAATCTCTATAGGAAAATTCCGTTTGGCATTAGAATTTATTTGGCAAAAAAAAAAGATTTGAGTCAACATATGAGGAAATTACTTACAATTTAAATTACTCAAAATTTTTCCGATGAAAACTGCCATGACAATTCACATTGATAAATTATACAAGTTGGAAGGCAGAAAGGGGTCAATCAGAATGTTTAGATGTATTAGTTGGCACCGAAAAGCAGTGCAATATCGGTACCGGTATTACCTTACTGTATTAAATGTACCGGTACTGTAAGTTACCTGTGGTGTGATTTTTAGCTCGTTGTGTTAAATAATTCTTGCTTGATCAGTAACTTTAAATGGAATATCATCAGTCAAGCAAAATATGTGCCACAGGCTTTTTTGCAGGACATACTGATCATGATTCAATAGTGTTTTCCAGTTTGTGGAAACAATAATGGCCGATTGGCTGTTACGTAGTTTCTGACCTTTCATGAGTAGAAGTTCATCCATGAGTAGAAATGGATTATAGTGAGATAATACACTCATCTGAAAATAATAAAGTTGGGTCATGCAATATATCAGTTCTGTGATTTCAAGAATACGCTTTACGCTGAGACAACATCACTGAGACAGTCTGGGTCTCAATATCGGCAATGCGCAATAACTTGTCTACAGTTAGACACTTTGACAGTACCGTACCGGTGCATAGAATGTTAGATGATGGCAGTACGGTTACCAGTAAGCTGTCTTGCTGGTGGTTATTTAATGCGCTTGCAAACATTCTATTTTAAGACACCAGTAAATAGCAAATATAGGATTTTCATATTTATCCTCGGGGATAGATATTATGATCAGGGATGGCCAATTTGAATAAAGTATTCGAATATCTCGTTATTCGAATATCTGAATTAGCGTTTAAAGAATATCGGATATTTCTGTGACGCCGCCGCTTTCAAGACGTTTTCGTTGAGTGAAAACATTCTCGATAGGAACTTGCGCGCGATTGCTTTATCAGCGGACGTGTTATTTAGGCCGTAAACGCCTTTACGTTTGTGTTATTTTTTTTAAAACGCAAATTTTCCACAAATTTGTTTATTTAGGCCGTAAACGCCTTTACGTTTGTGTTATTTTTTTTAAAACGCAAATTTTCCACAAATTTGTTCCACGATAACAATGATTTTATTTTTGTACTCGCACAGAATTGTGAATACGGAGAGTACGTTCATCGGCGGCGAGTTTCTAAATAAAACGCAAATTTTTTTATTGAAAAGCGGCAATTTAAAATATGGAAAATAAAACCGTAAACAAAATATGTTTTATTGAAGCCCGGGACAGTTTAAAAAACGCTTATTTAGGCAGTGAAAATCGCAAATTTCCCACATTATGTTTGGTCCGCCTTCAGAAACATTTGCCTGATTATCCATTACCTTAATTAAATTGCTGTCGAAAATTTTTGTGTCAACATTATACAAGGTTTGAAACGCGACTTTTACCGGGTTGTGAGAGTGTGTATAATATAATTAATCTAAAGTATATTCAATCAATTTTTATTGTGCTGAAATAAATTTTACTCTGAGATTTTACGGCAGATTTATGGATTTTTCGAACGGTTTTATCTCAAAAAAAAATCGGAGTGGCGGCATTACGATTGAGAGGAGTCAGTTTTACACATCTCAAATTTGCCGAATTTGCAAAATACGGATCAAAACAATATATAATCGGGCAGTTTACCACACTTTTTTATTTTTATGTCCGCGGATTGCCTTGGCATATTAGAGTGGTGAGGATTTTATTTTGTTGACGCAACCGCAGGTTAAATTGAAAACAATTAAATTAATAAAGCAAGACATTTTAAATATGCCCTTATGTCACTTTGCACAACAGAAAAATATATATTCGTTGAAAAAGTCGGCTCTTTTAACAGGTGGAGCAATCGCGGCGATGAATATGTTTTTTTTAATTTACTGCTAAACTTTATATGTATATTTATTGTATGAAATGAAGTTGTACTTTGCATGATTTTATTTCATTTATTGAGATTTTTCTAATGGCGATAACGAGTTGATAAAAGATTGCATAAAAATACGTATTAACGCCGTGGACCAAATAGTAATGTAATAGAAGCAACCGCGAGTTACGTTGGACACATTAAATTAATATATAAAGATATTTTAGAATCTCGTAGTTGTCATGGATTGAATAATTTACTTGACAGGATGATCATTATACGCTGAAAAGACGGCTCTTTTAAGGAGCGTGCAATCGCGGTGGACGTTACAGGCGGCAATGGGAATTTCCGATTTTAAAAATTCTGGCTGCGCGCCTGGCAGTGGTGGTCATCTATCCTCTAACTCATAGGTTCTCAAAGTGCTCCGTGCGAAGCCCCAGGGCTCCGTGAGAGAAGCCTAGGGGCTCCGCGAGCTATTTGATTACTTTTCAAAAGACTGACTTGGCTAATTTTGTAACTGTCCAAATAAGCAATAACAGCTTTAATAAAATTTGACAACAGTATAGCCTCGAAATATGGCAAAGAGGCAGAATTCAAAAATGACATTATTTATAAGCAGGTGCGCAGCCAGGATTCTTAGAAGGAGGGGGGATCAAAGTTGGAATCAGAAATGTTCGCGCAACATTCTTCGAGATTAAGAAAAAAACTATTTTAGTGGATAACGAGATTTCTGTTGCGTATTCAATCCATGATTGATGCGAGCATTTAAAATGTTCTGTCATAATAATTTAATTGTGCCCATCGTTACTCACGTTTGATTCAAGATTATCATGAGGATTACTTAAATAAAAAATTACTATTCTAAAATAACATAAAATATGTGATAAACTGCCAACTATAAATAAATTGGAATCGTATTTTTGCATCTTGTGATTTGTCAAACTTGATTTGTTCCTTCGCACTCGAGATTATTTTTAAGCAAGATATCGTCGTTACAAAAATCCCGAGGTCGACGTTAAAACTCAATGAGTTCAATATACAATTGTGCAATCCATGAGCGATGCGGGCATATTTAAAATGACTTGTTTATTGGGTTAATTGTGTTCAATGTAACCTGCGGTTGTGTGACTCACAATGAAATACCATTACTTCTCAAATTACCATGGCAATCCGCGGATATGAAATGAGAAACGTTCACTTGTGGACTACCGTATATCCTGAACAATGCTGTTATAATGAGATATTAGAAACAAAATCATATTGCCCACAAAAGAACATATTTATATACCTACTACCGGTGCCAAAAGTTTGATAAGATATTTGTGCCCGTCCCGATCAAATCATAATCGTAATAATGACTGATTGCATGGCAGTGTTGTAGATTATAGCGATTTAGCGAAATCGACAAATTTGAGCTGTTCTTGCAACACTGACTCCACCCTCTCGCAGGTCTACCACTCAGGTTCTTTGCAAGATATCACCGATTAAAAAATCACAAGGTCTGGGCAAAATACGAACGATTGTAATTTATGTTATTGCATGCGGCTCCGTTGGTAGTTTCAGAATGGATAAAAGGTACATCGCGCGCACAATTGTGACTGCGTATCGATTTCAGTTACCAAGATGAATAACCAAAAAAAACCTAACATAACACCAAATATTGTCATTTACAATGTCTAAAAAAGCGTTTTAAATCTGTTGCGAGTCTGCTGAAACAAAACTTATAGTGTTATCTTCTGTTTAGAGTTTTATTTTGAATATTTCATAATGGCGCTTTTCAATCAAGAAATTTGAGTTGCGGATTCAACACTTTAATAATTGTTTTTAGCATCTCGTCGCCGATGACTATAATATATATATTATCATGTTTTTTACATCGAATTCATAATTCCCCACGAGAACAAAAAAGCAATTATTGTCGTCATTGTGGAACAAAACATGTATATGCCGGAGGAAATTTTTGATTTAGGGAGAATAAACACCGACGTAAAGATGTTTAAGGTTTGACGTTTCACGCTAACGAAAACAGTCGGCGATTGTAACAAAATGCAATCGCGCAGCGACCTTTTAAGTCTTACAAAAATACCAAAAGGAAAAAGATTCGACCCCTACTTTATTAATATGTTTGACAAGTGTCAAATTTACAGCCTTATTATATATAATTTATCTCTGAAATTTAGATTTATTTATGACTTGTATTAACCATATTAATAAGAAAGGTTTAGCATTTAAATTAAGTAAAGTACTTTTAACTTACTCAGGAATATTAATCGGGAAGTAACAATTTTAAAATTTATTTTAGGGCTCCTTGAATAATAGTCAACTTCTTCACGGGCTCCGCAACACCAAAAGTTTGAGAACCCCTGCTCCAACTTATTGCAAACATCACAATATGCTAAGCATAATAACCACAAACTATCAATTACTTTGTATACATATACTGTTGGTTTGTGGCTTTACTCTTATATTTCTATTGAAGCTTATTTCCTATTTTACTGGGTTTTATAAACTAAAACAAAAATTGTGGTATTTTCGATTTTAGAATGTATTCGGAATAGTTTAGTATTCGGAAATGGCCATCCCTGATTATGATGTCTTAGTCACATGACCTACCCCTATCTTTTGTCCGGTTTGCAGTTTGCGTTAGGTATTTACATGGTAGCAGCACAGGATTATCAAATGTGCAATGGCAAGCGTTTTTTGGATTTTTTGCAGAAAGTCTACACTGCCAAGAGCCCCCTCCAAGAGTGTAAATATAATATGAGAGTGTAATATAATTATATCACGCTTTCAACTAAAAATACCTAGCCTGTGCTTTTGAAAAAACTTCCAGTGCAAGTAATTATTCATATCTAATATGATAATGAATACAAAATAATTATTTTATATATTTTATCCTTATTTTTAGACATTTTAGGATACAAAAATTACAAATTATATTAAAATCATAGTATTCAATATATTTCCCTGCCTTTTTGGTGATGAAAACTTTTCATCATTCACGATCACTTATTGATAATGGTAATTGTGGGACTAAAGATTTGGATCAATATATATCTGGTAACATTGTGGGAACTAACCAGCATTCCAGCTCCGATGAGCATTGTGGAAATGTTATTACCAGTGAAACTTATTTACCTAGGGGTGATGAAGAGAAACTCGATGTTCACGCACAATATATAATGGGCGGTTTGGTTTGTCAAACTGAGAAATCAGAAAACTGTGGGCAGAACCAGTCACATGTTGATATTGACATAAAACCTGATTTAAATTTACAAACCAACAGTAGACATGGACCATATGTTTGCCAAACATGTGGGAAGGAATTGAAGGGGAAACAAATTTTGAAAGTGCACATGAGAACTCATACAGGAGAGAAACCATATATTTGTAAACAATGTGGGAAGAGTTATTCGCAATCATCCCATTTAAATGTGCACAGGCGAACTCACACTGGAGAGAAACCGTATGTCTGTAAGATATGTGGAAAGGGATTTTCGCAATTATCCCATTTACGTGTACATGACCGAATTCATTCTGGAATGAAACCCTATATTTGTAAAGATTGCGGTAAATGTTTTTCCCAGTTAGCTGCTCTAAATAGGCATGAACGAAGTCATACCGGAGATAAGCCTTATGTTTGTAAACAATGTGGAAAGAATTTTACTAGACCATCCACGTTACATTCTCATGAGCGAAGTCACACTGGAGAAAAACCTTATGTTTGTAAACAGTGCGGAAGAGCTTTTCCAAGATTGAAAAGTTTATGTAGACACGAGAAAACTCATAGTGGAAATAGGCCTTTTGTTTGTAAATACTGCGCAAGGGCTTTTTCACGATTATCCACTTTACGAGATCATGAACGAACTCATACTAAAGAAAAACCTTATGCTTGTAAACAATGTGGAAAGAGTTTCACTCGTTCAAACAATTTACAAGTGCATAAGCGAATTCACACTGGGGAAAGACCTTATGTTTGTGAACAATGCGGAACACGTTTTGTAGAAAAATCTACTTTACGTAAGCATGAGCGAATTCATACTGGAGTAAAGCCGTACATTTGTAAACACTGTGGTAGAAGCTTTGCCCGATCACACACATTACGAGCGCATGAGCGAACTCATACTGGAGAGAAACCGTATATTTGTAAACAATGTGGTAGCAGCTTTACGCGATTGCCTGGATTACAAGTGCATGAGCGAACTCATACTGGAGAGTAACATGAATAATGTGAGAAGAGTACGTCAGATGAAGACAACTATTGTCCTTCCTCTCTGGAATATACATTTACCTAAACATTCACTAATGCGCATGGTTTTGCGATGTTTGTGAGCAATGTGAAAAATATTTTACGAAGGCATATTCATGGTCGCAAAAGACGATGAAACAAGTATAACCTGTGTAACCTATTTTTTTCAAAACTGGGAATTAAGTGCTAAAATGATATTTTGGAAATCTTTTTTAAGATTTGTGTGCATAATACCACACGCTTAAAATTTTTTTGTGGATTCACTTCTATTTTGCACAAGGTGGTTATTTCAGTGTACAGGAAACCACCACTTATGATCTACCTCAGCTAAAACTCTTCCAGAGCAAAAATAGACTACTGAACTATTTGATTTACAATTAGATGGGAAATATGTTTGAACAAGTGCAAAAATTTCAATTGTTACGCTACCTTTAGTAAATGGTTTCGTTGAAATCAATGACTGGTGTTAGAATAGCTATTTTGTGAATCACTAACAAACATGATAATTAATATTTAAAATTGCAGGAACATCTTTATAATTCATTCACTTTATTGTCAATAGTTATTTTTGTGTATGATTCTACCGAAACAAACAAACATGCCCTAAGACGGAAACACTTGTTAGCCAAAAATACAGTATTTTATTGATTACAGCAGTCAATATCAAATTGTTATTGATATATCATTTTTTTTTATTATGAAATACATAAATGCAGAAATGTGACTATTCGTGGCAATATTCTTAATAATTGGTATAATATAAAATGTAATCTGTCAACCTTTTTTTATGCCAGAAGAGTTGTTTTGGTTCAGTGACTGTATGGTCCTCCCAACCTCCTATCAATTCTGTTGTTAGTCGATTATCCATCTTTTACTTATTGAATGTTGTTTTTTGTTTGATTTGTTGGGTAATGACTGGATACTTGATTTTTAGATATTCTGTATTAAAATCATGGAATCCACTGAAAATCTATTTCCCTGCCTTATCTGTGATGAAAACCTCTCATCAGGGCCAAGATTGAAAAAGCATATGTTTTTGCACATTGACGATGGAACTGGCGATTTGAATGAACATGCAACTGATATGCCTATCAACACTGTGAAGGAGCATTACGGAGAAGTTATTGCAAGTAAAACTTCTTCACATAGTGATGGTGAAAAGAAACTCTATGTTCTTGTGCAATGTCGAGAGAGTGGTTTGATCGATAAAACTGGAACTGGGAAAATTGATGTAACCTATATAAACACTATCATCAGACCAGGGTCAAATTTACAAACTAGCAGTGAAGATAAACGAATTCTTTGCCAACAATGCGGGAAGAACTTCAAATCAAATCAGAATTTAAATCTGCATATGAGAACCCATACTGGTGAAAAACCTTACATATGTAAGCAATGCGAAAAGGCTTTTACACAACTATCTCATCTAAAAGTGCACAAGCGAACTCATACTAGAGAAAAACCCTATATTTGTAAACAATGTGGAAAGTGTTTTACACAGTCATCGCATTTACGAGTGCATAAGCGAATTCATACTGGGGAGAAACCCTATATCTGTAAACAATGTGGTAAAAGTTTTTCGCAATCATCTAGTTTACAAGATCATATACTAACTCATACTGGAGAGAAACCTCATGTTTGCAAGCAATGTGGAAAATGTTTTTCACGATTGTCTAATTTACAAGTACATGAGCGAACTCATACTGAAAAGAAATCTTATGTTTGTGAACAATGTGGAAAAGTTTTTTTGCAGCCGTCCGGTTTACATGTGCATAAGCGAACTCATACTGGGGAGAAACCTTATGTTTGTAAACAATGTGGTAAGAATTTTTCACACATATCCAGTTTACATACCCATGAGCGAATTCATACTGGATAGAAACTTCAAATTTGTAAACATTGTGGCATCTTTGTTTTTATCAAGTTTATGTGTGAATGAACAAAGTCACTTGAAAGACTTCTTATGTATGTAAAAAATGTGGTAAGGATTCGCGCAATTACTTCATTTAGATTGGTATGAGCAAACTCACACATGAAAAAGACCCGACCCTGTTTACAATTAATGATGAGCTTTTTGAGTAAAATTCATTTACAAAAACAATTTATACTGACAACATAAGGAAGAACCCACATGTTTGTGTGCATTGTATAAAAGGTTTCTTACATAATGTATCGTTAGAAAGACGTTTGCCCTATGCTTGTAAGCAACGTAATGCAATAACCTAATTACAATGCAGGTATAATTTACTTGTGTTCTTTTGAAATTTTGGTTGAATTTAAAAAGTCGAAACTCTGAAAATGTTTTTATACAAGTTTTGAAATATTTTCTGCCATATTCATTCGTGCGTTTGTTTTTATACTAGGAGAATAATAAATGACATTAATAGTTATTTTATTGGCCATTAGGCAATGTGGGATATAGTCTTTAGATCCGAAATCCTTTAAACTGCGATGCCAACATTGTTAGACAATTCGAGAAAAGAAATTTTTGTACTATATTTTGTCCTTATCGTGACGGAGGAAAAAATACATGATTTTACTTATTTTTTTAACAAGCTAATTTAATTCCAAGTTTCAAATAACCAATGAGATTAAAATATTTTTCTCTTGGTGTAGAATATGTACTATTCATTGTGCCTTGAAAACTTAGATCGTTAATGATGATGACGGTATCATAATGAAGTTCTAAGGGCACTTTCACAATTGTAAATTGATTTTTACAAATCTATAAGCCAGGGATGGCCAATACCGAATAGTTCACTATTTCGAATACATTCGAAATTATTTTTTTCGAATATGAAATTTCGAGTACTTCGAAAATAAAATCCACTAATTGAAGCTTATCTAAATGTATGTAGGAATTTCCATACAATAAGCAATGGAATAACTGCTATCTACAAGTTCCAACCTAGCTATATTACCAGGCATTTCATATTTGCAGATTATTGCAGTATATATTTTATATACCATGATTCAGATTCAGATATTTATTTTCGTCATGCAAAAAACAATGCGCGATATGAATAAATAATATAATGTAACAAAATGTCAAATGGATATCGGCTTGTTGCAGTTGACGCGGAGTCGCGAAAAGACTCATAGAGTCATCTAGTCAGCGACACCTTGTAGCTGAAATTAAGCAGCAAATATAAGAAACGGGACACTCAATATTACACATTAACTTAATAAATTAACACGATCATACAAAAGACAAAAAAATAATACAAAATAAATAGAACTCAATATTACACATTGGCTTAATTGGACACAATCATTCGAAAAATGAAAAACAACAAGAAAAAACCTGAGTAACTACGGGATGCCACAATCCCTGTGGAATGATTAACAAACATGAAATAGGCTATAATCATACAAGAAAAAGAGCGGCAAAACATGCGAAATAAACCACGGAATGCCACAATGACTTTGGAATAAAAAAAAGATTACTTTTAAATAAAAAACAAGACAGATAAAAAACATCAACAAATCGAAAATACACCACGGAATGTCATGACGGACGCAACAGCGACATCTATAAAATGGTTATGCCTCGTTGAGTACGGAGCACAGCGAAATAGCGTTATGACTCAGCGTTCAGTCTACACCAAGATGGCGTACCCAGCAACGGGAGTTTGCTGCTAGGGTTGAATTTGTGGCTATTTTCTGTTAAAGCGATTGCTAGTAAATTATTGGCTCTACAGATTAGTGCAGAATGAATTATGAGATCTGCATACTTCGTGTCGATTGCACTGGGCTGAAAATAGTAAGGAAATACCAGGACACAATATGCAGACAGAAGAAAATGGCAAGTTTCAAAAAGATGGATGGATATAGAAAACAACAGAAGGTAATGTTTTCAGATCAATGACAACTAGGCCTATAGGCATCAAGATATAGGCTTTTCAGTGCATGTTTGTAAGAATTATAACTACTGGATCGAATGCTATTAGGGAGGTTATTCCACAATTTAACACCAACGAATTTGATCGAGTTTTGAGTTCGTTTGGTGCTGAAGCGATTTACATAATATGAGCACCCGACAGAGGAGCGCGTTTCATAAGAGTGAACGTTGCTCTGTTTTAAAAAATAGTTGGTGAAAGCAGAAGGGAGTTTTTTGCAGTGATGTTGGTGCATTATTTTCAATACCTCAATTTCATAAATATCTGCTAATTTAATAATTTTAAGACTATGATAAATAGGACTAAGTCGTGAAATATAACTGGCAGCAGAAATTGCACGAATTGCTCGGTTCTGAATAATTTCAATGCGGTGTAATAAGGTTTTATCAGCTGAACCCCAAGCAATTATGCCATACTGGATATGGCTTTGAAATAAGGAATAGTAAATCATGCGTAAGGTGGTAAGCGATGTGTATCTTTTAAGCTTGTATAGCATTCCAACAGACTTGGATAATTTAACGGCCAGGTTGGACAAGTGAATATCCCACTTCATTTTACTATCAATGTATATACCAAGATATTTAAAGGAATGGACATTTTCCAATTTTTTATTATCAATTTGGATTTCCAAAACATTTTTCGATTTGCATTGGTATGGAGATATTAACATAGATTTTGATTTTTCAATGTTTAGTGTTAATTTATTGGCTTTCATCCAACTTGACACTTTTGCAATTTCAGTATTTACTCTCAACTGAAGAACTGCACAAGATTTGTCGCTGTCAAGGAGATTAGTATCGTCAGCGAACAATTTGGAAAATAATGAAGAGCAATAAGTTATGTCGTTAATATATACGAGAAAAAGGAGAGGGCCCAAACAGCTACCTTGAGGAACTCCATGCGTCACCGGTAAGGGAGAAGAACAGTATGATCCCACTGGAACATATTGAGATCTATTATTCAAATAACTAGAAATGAGTTTGCTTGCAATTCCCCGTATACCATAATGCCTCAACTTAGAAATCAGGATGTCATGATTCACAGTATCGAAAGCTTTCTTTAGATCTAGAAAAGTTGCACTGACATACTCCTTTCTTTCCAATTTATCATAGATATATGATACTGTATCTAAAATGGCATGTGATGTAGAATAATTGCTCTGAAAACCGAATTGATATTTATTTATTACATCATATTTAGTTAAAAAATTTGCGAGTCTTTTATGTAACAAACGCTCAAACATTTTATCAATTGCTGAGAGGATTGATATTGGTCTATGATTTGAAATTAATTTTTTATTTCCAGATTTGAAAAGAGGAATAACCCGGGCGGTTTTGAGAGATGAAGGAAAGATTCCAAGTAACAGCGAGGAATTGAAGAATCTTGAGAGACAAGGGGCAATTATATCCGCAACTAATTTGATGAAGCGCGCTGGGATGTTGTCTGGTCCTACAGCCTTCCTGTCGTTAAGATTTTGTATTTCGATTAAAATTTCATTCGCGGTGGATGAGCTCAAAAAGATGGATTGGCTCACACGATTGCGGAGAAAAGGTTCGAAGTTAGCTGTATCATTGGAAAACTTATCAGCCAGAATTAAATTAATACGACAATAGTGGTATCGATGATGGATTTGAATATTTGCGCAACACAAAATCACCCTAGTAAAACGGCCATACTTTTAAATACCAACCATTATCCAAATTATTTGTCGAAAAGCGGGATAAAGTATGAGGTATTTTTCCGACTTGTGACAATTTTTTCGTGAGTACAAAAATACGAATCAAAAATTAATTATATTTGGGAACTTTACCACACATTTTAAGTCAGCAGATCGCCGTTGTATGTTTGAGTAATAATACTTTTATTATTTCATAAATATGAAAATAGGAATCAAAAACCATTTATAATCGGGTGGTTTACCACACATTGTAAGTCCACAGATCGCAGTTGTATTTTGTAAATACGAAAATAGGAATCAAAAATTAATATTAATCGCGAGTTTGCCACACAATTCATGTCCACAAATTGCCGTGATATTGTGCCGAATATAATTAGTTCAATGACATTAAACAACATGATAGGCAACTCTGACGTCACTCCATAAGACTACAGGCGAAAGATTGTATTTCATGATACGCTCCAATGCATATATTTCTCGTCGCCGTTCGCGTCCGTTTTCCGCTCGCTTTTGCTACTCGGCGTCTTTTTTACGAGTAGTACCTGCCTTTTTGCGCCTGTAACGAAACAAAATAATCTCTATATCTAAGAAGTTTTGCTCACTTGGAAAGCTGGAATGGCAGGCAAGCTGTAAAAAGCAATTCTAGACATCATAGACGTTTTTTTTTATCAGAGAAGATTACAAACGCGATAGCGGAAAGATTTGTGTGGAACATTTTGCAGATAATGACAAAGTCCAAAGTTAGTAATTTTAATATAAGGAAAGAATAATACTTAATCTTAATATATGAACCTAAAATTAACAAAAATACTACAACATAAACTCAATGTTTTTTTAATAATTACATTTGTCCTGACGTTTGGCATCTTTTTTGTGTCACCAGCATACTAAGGCCAGGCTGAAATGATTTTATAGTACCAACTCTAACTAACGAGGCCACATGATCATGGGTTAATCTGGATCTTTGCGAAGGTTTAATTAATTCCAGTAATGCAAAAAAGTTACTTTTATCATTTCATTATTATATCAATCATAAAATTCTACGTACAACCATCAAAATCATTTTTGAACAAGCTTTGAATAAGGAAATAATAATACTTAATCTTAATATATGAACCTAAAATTAACAAAAATACTACAACATAAACTCAATGTTTTAATAATTACATTTGTCCTGACGTTTGGCATCTTTTTTGTGTCACCAGCATACTAAGGCCAGGCTGAAATGATTTTATAGTACCAACTCTAACTGACGAGGCCACATGATCATGGGTTAATCTGGATCTTTGCGAATGTTTAATTAATTCCAGTAATGCAAAAAAAGTTACTTTTATCATTTTATGTATAGATCAGTAAAAAAACATTCGACAAGACATTTCGCACCACATTGCGTGGCATAGGATTGCTTGAATTATTATTGCTAAGTCGTTGTATAATTATATTAATATACAAGCACATGGAAATTTTCTGTTCGAATTTGTCATATTGACTGCTGAGCTTATTGTGTTTTTTCATTGTATTGATGGAAATATGACAAATTAAGCAATGTGCTTCAGAATTTTGTGAAAAGCAGAAATGTTGCAACTCCCATTTTCTTCGAAAATGCCACCTTCTTCATGTACTTTGCGTTTAATTTAATCACTCAAGTGTTTTATTCAAGTATTCTTTTGCTAGCTTGTGTATTCTTAATTGGGTCAAAATGTGGACAAAAAAAATTAATATTCCAAAACTACTTTCAGTAAATTGTTTTTTGTGTGATTGTGTGAATAATCAATTTCACTTCAAAAGGTTTGAAAAATCTATTACATTTAGATAAAAATAAAATTCCATAATACTATTACAATTATTGTTAAGCGTTCGAGGGCCGCACTAGAAGTTCTCTGGGGCCGCGAGTTTGAAATCCCTGGTCTAGATTGAAGTTGTCCAAAAAATATATGATAGTATTTTATCATGAAGGATGATTATACCCCTTCTGGAATTTCTTCTATAGTACTACCAAAAGTTGATGAACCAAATATAACACAGATGCAGTGAGTTACCCGTAATTCTCATTTTCCAAAGCTGTTTTAAGTATGTCTGGCGTGTTTTGTGCCTTTTTACAAATAAGACCGTTTATGCAATCTTACGCTTTGGAATTTTTAGTTATTTTTCCCAAGTCCCGCAGGATGTGGGGGCCATACACAACTCTACCGGAGGGTCAAATGTCTTTGCATGCCTCCACAGGTTGTTTTTCTATTGCAAACATTTATGGAGTACTCTAA